TTGAAAAAGTGTTCTTTGCTCTGAAAATAATGAAAAATTTGTTACTTGTCGCTTGTTCAGAATTATTCAAGGAACAATCTTTCACCATCTTATCTTCTTGTTCTTAAAAAGACTGTGTGTATTGTCAACCAAAAAGCCTTAAATCTACTCTTTTGAAAAAAAAATCATATTTTCGTTGCTAAGATTCCAATTCGAAAAATTTGAAAACCGTTAAGGTAAGACATAATACTTCATTATTTCAAAGTAAAAACGAGAAAAAATATTTCTTTTTTTCAAACGGGGCTTGGATGAAGTTATTGAAATTTTTCACCGTTTAACATATAACCCTGTAGGAAATTTATTTGAAGAACCGTAAGCTTCATATCTATAGCATGAATTGCCAGAGGATGAGGCTAGCATACATCACAGACCAAAATAAAATCGTTTAAGAAACAACAAAGTTATGTCGTTTTAAAAAAGAACGAATTTTTTGGTCGCGACACATTGAGTGGTGCGCAGTTTAGTTAAAAATATTTTTTTAATTACTAAGTAAATATTTAAATAAATAATAGTTTAAAAATACTAAAAACACGCTTAACGCAATAAAAAGTATAAAAAATAATGTAATTGACTTAAATAGTACCTGCTATTAATTAACTTGTCATTTCTTTATGTTCAATGACTATGCCACGTCACGTATTCTACTTGATAAATCCTTTCATTTGATACCCATGTCAAGGAGGTTGTGAAGATATAAAAAAAATTAAAAAAAAAATTAAATTTTGATAAGTTTGGTAATATTATCGTAATCGTTTTTTACTCGTTAAGCCTTTTTTTTATACCCATGTCAAGAATATTGTGAAGAAATAAGTAAACCGCATCTTGGGCGACCGCCATATTGGATTTAGTATGACATCACTTATCTTATCATTTTTTACTCGTCAAACCCTTTCATTTGACACCCACGCCAAGGAGGTTGTGAAAAAATAGGTAATCCGCCATCTTGGATCAAGTATGAAGTTACTTACCTAGGTAAGTTACCTTATCATTTTATACTTGTCAAACTCTTTTATTTAATACCCATGCCAAGGAGGTTGTAAAGAAATATGTGATTCATCATCTTGGGGCAGCCGCCATATTGGATTTAGTAGGACGTCACCCACCTTATCGTTTTCTACTTGTCAAACCCTTTTATTTGATTCCCATATCGTGGTATTAAAGAAAAAAGGTAATGCGCCATTGGAGAAGCGGCCATTTTAAATAAATTACAGTATTGAGTATACTAGATTGTATTGTCACCAGGACCAAAAGTATAATCCAAATTTCGGCTCAATCGATTAGGTGATAGGGAAGTTAAGCTAATATAAAGCGTGTAAACATTATCATTTATTGTTCCTCCAATTACTAAATATTAAAATTAGCAATACATTTGTTTGCGATTTATAGATTATTGAGATAACAAGTAATTTTTATTTAATAAATGCCAAACATTACAAAAGCCCAAATATTATTTCGAGACTGTTAAATTTATAGATGCATTTATTTATGCCGCTTCCGAAATAATCGGTTGACGCGTGAACAACCGCAAATTATTTGGTTAAAATAATACAACACTCTGGCAACACTGTAGGGCTACACAAGAAACCGTTAAAATATATTTGTATCCGAAATGGCATCATAACGTGCTACTACTATCATTTGGGCCAGACAAGGTACTATATATAAATATACGCTCCTTAAAGCAAATTTATTTACCCCTCTCAATGTGCTAAAGAAAATGTTGTTCTGACAAACAAGTTAACTAAAAGTATACTTTGTTAAATAAGTTACATAGCCTGGGTGACACAACGCCCCAAAGATATATCGTTTATAGGTATATATATATATATATATATATACCTTGACATTAGTGCGTCAGATATACTGACGCAGTAAAGTCGTTGACGCAATAAGAATAGGGATTTTATAAATGTATGGACGCAGCAATGATAGAATTTTGTATATATATATATATATATATATATATATATATATAAATATATATATAAATATATATATATAATATTTTATTCCCTAAAGAGCACGATGTACAGTACATGGGTCATTCTCACGAAAATGTTCAATTTACTGTCCCTTATTAATAATTTACATACTTACGGCAATATATATATATTTTCTGTAGTAAAATTAAAGAATATTACTGTCTTAACGCTAGTCCACATGCATTTTGACAAAAGTTATTAAAATCTTATAAAAATTTTAGTTAACAGTACGTGAGATCTCACGTTTGTTAGTTGTCCCCCGCCAGAGTCACTATATTTCAATATCATTTTTCTTATTTATTAAATTAAAGTTTTAACCACAAAAATAATAAACAGCACGAAAATACCACAAGTTTTTTCATCTTATTAAAAAATATTAGAAAATGTTTTTATATCCCCATAGATAATTGTTTTATAAGTGTCCCTGGATGACTTTCTCACTTCCGTTAATATAGACTTAAATTGTAATAAAATATCATAGATGGCTCTTACGTTGCCAGGTATTGGTTAACCTAAAAAAATAGTTACTGTTTAGTTGAATTCGTGGTGCGTGACATAATATTTTTAGGTTTTTTGGAACATTTTCGAGAATATCAAGTATTAAGTGTTTTAAGTGTTTTAAGTGTATTAACGTGGAGCATAATTCTCACTGTTGTTAGTGGTTATCAACAGGTAAGTAATTAGATATTAATAAATATAATTACATATTTAAATAATATGAACAGGCAAGCGTTTATATTGTCTAGGACCGGGGTCTTTATAACCAGTAGACCAGGGCTCCCAGCAGTCCATGTTGCGAGAAATAGTGACTTAAGAGACTAATAATAGAAAATAAACGACCAAATACAGACCAAATTAATTACCGAAATAACTATAAAATGGCCATTTTATAGTTATTTCGGTATACATTTTTTTGGGATAAAAGATCTAAATTTGAATTTAAAATATATAGAGATAACTTGAAATTATAAATTTTTATTGAATTAAATTTAACAAGTAACCATAACTGATATAAAATACATAAAAAATATTAAATTCTGTAATAAATTATAACTTATAATAAATAGAATCACATTTATATAAAAGGCACTGGCATCAGTCATTTAATGGGTTATATTTTTTTTGGTGGGCTGCAGCTGATCTATAATTTTCGCCTTTCGTTTTTCTAAATCTTGGGCAAGACGACTAATCTTGTAAGTTACTTTCCCCGCTTCTTTTTTGGGATGGTTCACCCCTTCAAACATTAGTTGAGCCATACATATTTTAACATTTTTATTTGTTTGCAACAATACGTTCTTCATGGTCTTTTTTATTAAAAATAAAACAATAATTCGTTTATTATTCCTTTTCCCGAAAACGGTTTTTTTATTTAATATAAAACAATAATTCGTTTATTATTATTTTTCTCGAAAACGGTTCATTTTATTGACAATAAACAAGAGTACCTTTATTTTAGTTTAAGGTTCACGCTACGCAAATTTAGTTTTTTTAAGTCTTTACATACGGGGTTTTCAAAATTTAAGCATTAAGGTGTAAAACTTAGTCCGCCCCTGGTAAACAAAAAAAGTAAAACAGGTTTCAAGAACACTACTTTAAGAGGTCCCTACCAGGGTCCATCATATTAAATTTTTATTAAATTATATTCAATACTTTAAAAGTTATTCATGGAAAACCAATTTGCAGGGGCGTCCTTTCGGGGCCCATGTCTCCGTAAGGAGGGCCAGTAGGAAATTTTTTTATAGGAATGTGTCATCTTATTTTTTCATATTCTATCTGAATCCGAGATATTTCCCACATTTTTCCGGGCACCCTGTATAGGTAGTGTTAACCTAGTGAACCGAAACTATAAACGTAAACGAAACCCTAGACCAAACCAGAAACAATTCAGCAATAATATTGGCGGGCGGTTCGGGTCTGGACGGCGGGAACTTTAAATGTAAACTGCGAAGTTTTCGAATGTTTCACTTGGTTTACTGTGGTTTCGATATTTATAAAACTGTGAATATTTATATTTAAAAAAAATATTTTTTAATAGTTGATTTTAACAGAAAATATAGACTTTATAGACTTTAGGTAAAAAAATAGACTTTTATAGACTTAAGACAAAAATATAGACAAGTCTTTAAAAAAACTACCTGCTGGGAGCCCTGCAGTAGACAGGTCAATAGCGGAAAATTTGAATAAAAACCTCACACCCGTTAATCTCACTGCTGTTAAAAGCTTTCATAACGAAGGTGAGACATGTTTACGTAAGTGAGGTTTTATAGTACCTATTCTGGTATATTTGTATAATGAGGAGTTCGTTAACGTTTTCTGTTAAATTAATCTGAAATTCACTCCTCCGTTAATATCGAATTTAAGTTTTTTTCTTAGATTTTTTTTTTCAAGCTTAGAGTATTCGGGTGACTGATACATATATAAAATAATATATATATCTGATTATTTAAGTAAAATCTAAACAATTTTTTTTTTCAAAATTGATACCGGAAAAATCCACAAGTTCGTGATAATGACCTACATATTAAAAAAAACGGTCACATTTGTTCAGTGAAAAATTGAGTTGTCGTACCTGGTGGAGAACGCAGATGAGTGTTACCTGCGAATTGCTACATTACTGGCTATAAGCTGGCCATCGCTAAGCCCGGACATATAAATATAATTAAGCATGTTTGAGTTGCTTAAGTGAAAAGTCCGGTCAGAAATCTCGCACCAATGAGCGTGCGTGAAATAGTAAAAAAAATTAGAAGATTTATTTGGTTTTTGTTTCATTATAATCTTTTCTATTTTTTTCAACACATTCCTAGGCGCATAACTTTGACAAAACATTTCCAAATTCAATCAAAGTTGTTAAGCTTTCAAATAATACAGATAACTTTACTCAGAATGTAATCCTTAAGGATACACATGCCCAAGCACCAATTATTTTTCTCACAAGCGTTAACTACGCTCTCTATTTTTTATAACAAAATTTGTTCTAACCTTTGTTGGTGATTGTGGATCGTTGTTGGTAGACAAAGTATTTGACACTAATGGAGAACTTGGTCGGTTCCATTTTTTATCATCCTTGCGGCTAGCAGTCACTTCTAATCCAAGAACCTTGACACTTGTTTGTTCTTCTTCTTCAGGAATTACAACATTGCCATTTGATAGTGTTCCATTTAACACATGAGTTTCCTACAAGCATTGAAATAACAATTGTAGTAGTGATAACAATTTGCTATGTGTCTCTACTGAAATAAATAAATATATTTCAGAACTTCTAACGATTTACATACATACATACATACTAAAAATGTATAGGCATATAATTGTGCTTAAATAAACATAATAAAATAAAATAAAATATCAGAAATATATTTAAATTTTAGAGCTAAAAATTAAATAAAATTGCAATGTAAGCTAAAGCATAGCAGAGGTAATTCAAGTCAGCTTAGATATTAAAGGTCAAGTTAATTTAACAAACATCTGGTAACACTGACTGTTACCTGAGCTAACTGACTAGCTTTGCGACGAGCTTCAAGTTCTTCATCGACTTCATCCAACAGTGCTGACATGGCATTTACAACTACGAATAAAGAATGTAACCACTATAATTGAACATTTAGAATTATACAATTAATACTTATTGCAAATTACCATGGATTTAACCTTAAATTTGCCTCAAGTATTTTATATAATCAAAGAATATATATATATATATATATATACAATTTATTGAAACATACATCCAGAAAAAATTACTTTAAACGATTTCAAATAAAATTACTTCCCAAACAATCTAATAAATTTTCTTGCAATAATTTCACGAATTAAGCACTTTTTTATATAATTTATCTTTTACGAAAAAACTACAAATCTAGAAAAAAGTGAGTTTAAACTATATTTAATGGTTTATATAATTTATCTTTTACGAAAAAACTGCAAAATCTAGAAAAAAGTGAGTTTTAAACTAAATTTAATGGTTTAACCTTACCATTGACGAATTTATACGGGCTGTAAATCAAATAACCATGTAATATTGTTTACAACATTTATACATTTATCAATTATTAAAAAAATGATATTAAAAATAAATTCAGAATCATTTGCCCAATTATATATTTTTCTCCATGGTTTCTTTTCTTTAATGAAAAAAGGGTGTCTCAAAAATGGCGGAATGCCTTTTTCTGACAAGTACATAGAGGACCAGTAGTTTTGTGTTATATTTATTTGCATAAAAGTTTTTATTTTTTAATACAAATTGTCAGAAAATGCACCTTGTTTCCATAATAACTGTTTTTAGGTAAGTTATTGGGAAATACAAAGCGTTGCCGAGTTTTGTTTAAATTTGAATACTTGTTAGGAAAAAAAAGCAATTTTTTAAATAATCAAAATACTATATGGCGTTAGTGCGTATTTTTTTCGGGACATCCTGTATAAGCATGCCCGTTCTTGCTTTGTTTTCGATAAACATTATTAATTTTTTAAACTAAGCAACAAAAATAACCTACTACTTTAACTGAATACCCACTATTGATATCAGAAAAATACGTTAGCTAAGGACCACCCTAATATATATATATATATATATATATATACATTAGTACCATTAGTTTTTCAACACCAATAGAAGAAAAAAATAATTGTTTTTTTTAAACAGCCTAATATATGTATACAGGGTGTTTCATAATATATGCGCAGGACTTCAGGATGTGATAGCTCATCCAAAAAGATGAAAAAAGTCGCTATTAACTTACCCTCTAAAATGCACAATTTTCGAGATACAGGGTGTTGAAATTTTAGAAAAAAAATCGTTTTTTTCGATTATCTCCGGAACCGTTTATCGTACAAAAAACAGCTTTTGTAAGCATTTTCTACTCAAAATAAGCTATGTTTTGTGCCAGAAAAAAAATTTTTTTTACTCATAATTGGTGGAGATTTTGAAGGGGTAGCGGGTGTTTTTCTCCTCAACTTCTACGCCCCTGAAAAATGTACGGTTTTGAGAGGCCTATTCGAACCGCCAATGTTTTCTACACTAGAAAGGTACTCTTGGTCATAAGCTCTAAAGTTGACCGTTTTCGAGAAAAATCAACTTTTATATTTAAAAACATGTTCAATTTTTTGAAAAAAAAATTTTATTACAAATTAAACAAAATTTATTTTAACGTTAGAAAAAGTAACAAAACCAAACGATAATTGCAAAATTAAAAAAAAAAATAAAAAATGATTTTTTACACAAATGCTGAAATGTTCGAAATGCGTTGCCTTTACGGTTTGGAGAATTTAGCAAAGACAACTTTTAAATCATTTTTTATTTTGCAATTATGGTTTGGTTTTGTTACTTGTCCTAACGTTAAAATAAATTTTGTTTAATTAGTAAAAAAAAATTATTTTTTTTTTAAATTGACCATGATTTTAAACATAAAAGTTGATTTTTCTCGAAAACGGTCAACTTTAGAGCTTATGACCAAGAGTACCTTTTTTGTGTAGAAAACATTGGCGGTTCGAATAAGCCTCTCAAAACGGTACATTTTTCAGGTGCGTAGAAGTTGAGGAGAAAAACACCCGCTACCCCTTCAAAATCTCCACCAATTATGAGTAAAAAAATTTTTTTTTCTGGCAAAAAACATAGCTTATTTTGAGTAGAAAATGCTTACAAAAGCTGTTTTTTGTACGATAAACGGTTCCGGAGATATTCGAAAAAAACGATTTTTTTTCTAAAATTTCAACACCCTGTATCTCGAAAATTGTGCATTTTAGAGGGTAAGTTAATAGCGATTTTTTTCATCTTTTTGGATGAGCTATCACATCCTAAAGTCCTGCGCATATATTATGAAACACCCTGTATAGATATATATATAAAAAAACAATTATTTTTTTCTTCTAATGGTGTGTAAAACTAATGGTACATTCAAAAACAAAAATATTGGCGCCTATTTGAGCCCTTAATATTAATATTAAGGTTTGCCTCAATTCATTTGTGGTTTTACCATTTCAATAACACGGGATTTTTTTTTTAATTTTGAATTCTTATAATTTTGGGAAACGAATCTAAGAATCCGACAAATTATGGGAGGAAAGTGAATCAAAATCAAAGTAAAGCGGAAAACAAAAAATTAAAATTAAATAAACAAAAAGGAAATAAATGATGATAAGTTTGAAAAGTGCGGGTGGCCCCCGGTTAAGTCACAAACTGCTATAACGTCGTAGAAGTTTGTGAGAGGGTGAGTTATTAAGGTTAGGTCACACCAATAAGCTGCCTGACCACCTGACTACCTGTATGGATACCACAATCGGCGATTGCCAAGGAACGCGGACTGTCCGCTAATTGCATGACCTAATAACAGTACCAATTCGATTCTAATCTGTAAACTAATCGTTAAATTCTTATATACGCAAACTTCGAAATTTTATTACCAAAAATGTCATCTGGCTTCAGAAAACAAACAGGTCCCTACACTGAGAAAAGTAAACTATTTCAAGTTTTAATTAGTAACTGAACAGTTTTTGCACATTCAATACGACCAATGCGCATAATTGTTTATTTAAAAGTCTCGAAATGTTACCCACAGTCTTTACATTAAACTCGTACTGTTTTTGAATATACATTTTTATTACTTCAAAAATGTACAAAGATTTTAATTAATGCAGTTCAGACAGTAAATTAATGAAAAATCTCTAATATAAGCACTCTTGTATAACAACCTTTGATTGATTGTTTAAGATTTTTTTTATTTGTTTTAAAAATAAGAATAACATTTCCGTGTTTTTCTCAGTGTAGACAACCCATAAACAACTTAACCAAATAGAAAAAGGCGTAAGAGTAAATAAACCAAGTGTTGTGGGTAATAGTTATTATTGTATGTATGCATTTAAATATAGACATTAACTAAGATACCAACCCATAAATCAAAGCTTAAAATAAACAAAAGCCTAAAAAGTAAACAACAACATCACAGAAGATAAGAAGAGAGACCGTCTATAAAGCTACTTCAGGGCAGGCTTTATCTATTTATTAATATTTATATTTTTACATTAAATTTGGAAAAAAATAAAAAATAAGAATGCAAAGATATAAATTAAATGTAAACGGTATAAACACTAATTTAACAATAAAATAAATAAAGAATATGAGACATTCTTTTACATATCGTACGGATTACAGAAAACATATTTTTTCAAATTTTTAAAATGACATAATTTTTTTTTACAGCATCTTTTCATAAATTTAGCCGACCCCTATATCGGAATTTTTGCAGAAAATTTATTTTTCCAAAGATATATTGATTTAAACTTTTGATAAAATTTGAAAAAATGCTGAATTCTTTTTTACTTAAAATTCATTATCTCCGGTTCTACTGATCGGATCTATTTCATTTTTTTTTATTTTAAACCATATTACATAGTCTTTTTAGATAAATATTTAAAAAGTTTGTGTTTTGTTTATTATATGAAAAAATTTTTTTTTCTTGTATAAACAGATTTTTTGTGTTTGCCCCCTCTATGAAAAAAAATGAAAAAAATACTGTTCTATGCACTATTTATTACTCTACAAAATGAATTTTTCAAGTATGTTTTTTTAATAAATCCAACAGAATCAAGCAGTTTAACGTATAAACATTAAAAATAAGCATTTTTTAAAATCTCACGTGAGATTAGGGGGAGGGGGTTGAGCCAAATCTCACGACATCTCAGCAAGGGGGGAGGGGGTCAAAAAATCGCTAAAATTGACTCACGTAATTAATGGACACCCCCTAATCAGACATCTTCGAAACGCTAACACATTTAGGATAGTGTAAACTCATACATCGTTTTAAAAAAATACCAGCGCTTTTTGTAAATTAATTCTGATTTTAAAGGTTTTCAATAATTTTAAATAAATTAAATTTTAAATAATACAAACTCCAATTAATGAGTAAATTTATTAACTGGCAGAATTGACATTTGCACAAATAAGTCACCAATTAAAAGATGTCGAATCATGACACTCTTATACAAAATATCACGTCACCCGCCACATGCACTAATACGTTTGAATATTACGCGCTTGACAGTCCTGTCACGCGCTCGAAAATGTTTAATATCTTCCGATCCAAAAGAGTCTCCACTGTTCTGAAAAATGTATTTTGTAGATAAAGAAAAAGCGCATAAAATAGTATTTTTTTCCTTTTATTTTATAGAGGGGGCAAACATGAAAAACTAGTTTAAAAAATTAATCTGTTATTAACTCCCTATACTTAAAAAAAAAATTTTATTTATTTATTTGAAAAGCCTATTCAATAAGGTTTAAAACAAAAAAAAACAAAATCGATCCGATCAGTAGAACCGGAGATAATGGGTTTTATGTAGAAGAGAATTCATCGTTTTATCGCAATTCATAAAAACTTTATTTCAACATATCTCTGAAAAAACAAATTTTTTACAGAAAACCTGATACACGTATCTGCTTATTTACTGAATAGAAGCGGTAAAAAAAATTTCATGCGAATCCAAACCCTGAAGTCAAAATAGGTGTACGATTTGTAAAAGAATGTCTCATATACAAGGTCGGTAGCCGGCACTCGGCAGGAGGAATATCCACCAAGG